TTTCTTAAAAATTCATTAAGAATTGTGTTTAAAAACTATAACACAAAATAAATAGAAAATTATTACCATCAGGAGGATGAGGAAACACATCCTTATGATTTTCCAATGTATAGGTTAAAACACGTGTATCATGAGTAGATCTAGGCCACCCTGTAACTACAAATGTAAATATCATGTTATTACAAACTACCATCACATTTTGAGTGGGGATGCCTTTGCGACCTATAAATGGTATTAGGTCTTCTTCAAGGATTGTGGCTTTAACATGCGTACCCTCAATTGCACCAATACATCCTTTAAAATGAGACCAAAACCTACTATCTTGTCAAATCTTATTGGGAGTTTCGGTAAACTTATAATCAAGTGGTTTCACAATGTCACTTGAAAACCTCACCATTGCATCAAGAACCTCTTGAAATTTTCTATTTATTGTTTCTCCCGAATGTTTAAAATGATTTTGCACATTTCGATTAGATTGATTATGTGCACATGTCCAAAGAAACATTGCAAGTGATTCTTCTGCACATATTTCTCTTGTTGATGTTAGCCCATAATTACTAACTAACAAAGAACATAATCCCGTAAAAACATGTGGTTCCATTCTAAATAGTTTACAACTTTCACTTGGAGTTGCCAATGTCTCTTGCACCCATTGCCAACCTGAAAGTCTTGAAACTCTTCTTTTTTGTTTGTTAAGATATTTTGAAATATATGTTGAAGATATTGAAGCACCTAAGTGAACAAGAGAATAAAAGATATTATCTCTTTTTCGTCTACCTTCCACCTACTTATCTCTTTGTTCTATAGCTTGTTCCTCCATCTCATCCTCATCACTATTTTCTTCCTCCACCTCACACTCATCACTATTTTCATAATTCCACCTTGGATCTAAATCCATCTACCAAGAAAAAGAAAAACATTAGGATCCACATATGAACACAAAAAACCAATCTAATTATTTTTACAACAAAATTAAAAATGTAAAAAAAAAAAAAGATAACATACCTTTTTATCTTTTTCTTAAGTTGAACAATAAATGAACTCTTGAACTCTTGAACTTTTTGACGTAAATTGAATTTAGGAGAAGTGCATGAGGGTGTTGTAATTCAAATAGGGGGTTGTGTCTTTATTTATGTTTAGATTTTTTTCCATGTGATTGAGAAATCTTTTCTTAAGACAAGCTTTTTTCCATGTGATTGAAAAATCTTTTCTGAAGGCAGGCTTTCTTCCATGTGATTGATAAATCTTTTCTCAAGACAGACTTTATTTTTTGGTGTGATTGAATTGCGCAATACATACCTACAGTCCCAATGCATGCACTGAAATCAGCTCTTGGGCAGTGCATTGCGTACTGTCCTCAGCTATTGCCCTCAGCTATTGAGATTCTGCACATTGCAACTTTTGATATAAAAGGTAAAAAGGTTTACTAGCCCCTAAAATTCTTTGATTGTAATGATTTAACCCAAAACTTATTTTTATTTACAATCTACACTTTTAATTTCAAAACTTATGCAAATTGCCCCTTCCCTTTTAGATAATGTGGACACCATTAATTTTTAAATTGTATGAATCATATTATTTTAACTTTTGATTAAGTTTTACAAATTAACAAAAAAAAAAACTTAATATTTCAAGATAAGTGATAATCTAAACAAGGATTAATATGAAATTCTTATTTGAACTATAAATCACTAGTCCAATTTCTAAGCAACAACATTATGAAAAAGACATA